GCGGACGGTGATATAACAACTCCGATCACCACGGCGGCCGTCCTACCGTGACTCGCACCCCAGCTTGCTCCAACAAGCATGCATGGCAATCCCTATGTCCAAGTCGCTGCCGCGTAAACGGCCGCCGAACCCCCGAGACCGTGTGACATATCCGCTCCACGGACCCGCTCTTTCCGTTCCCGTGCCAGCCCAGGTTTTCTAACACGCCTTCTGGGGGCCATGTTGGCTGCCTTTTCGGCCCAGGACGGTCCAAGAGACCCCCAAGAGGCCCCCAAGACGGCTTAAGGTACCCCCAAGACGGCCCAAGAGGCCCCAAGACAGCCCAAGAGCGCTCCAAAAGGGGCGAAGATGGCCCCAAGACGGTCCGAGAAGCCCTCCAGACGGCCCAAGCGGCTCCCACGACACACGAGGACTTCCAAGAGAGACGCCGGAGGCAAAAACCATTGATTTCAGGTGTTTTTTTTGAGGATTTGGGGGATTCTCTCTGTATCGGATCAAAATCGGCCAAGCACGGCCCTGGGAGCGTCTGAGGTCGCCCCAAAACGTCTCCAGAGGCTCCCAAATGGTCCACGAGCGCCTCGAGACGGCCCAGGAGAGCCCCAAGACGAGCCAAGGAGGGCCCCACAGAGGTCCAAGAGCCTCTCAGGAGAACGCCCAGGGAGCCACAGGAGGCTCACAAGAGGGCACCGAGAGCGCCCCAAGCCGGCCCAAGCCCCCAAGACGGTCCAAGAGGGCCAAGGAGAGTCCCACAGAGGTCCAAGAGCCTCCACAAGAGGGCACCGAGAGCGCCCCAAGCCTGCCCAAGCCCCCCAAGACGGTCCAAGAGGGCCCCAGAAGGCCCCCAAACGGCCCCAAAGACCCCCAATAGGCTTCCAAGAGGCATTCCGAGATGCCTCCAAGAGCCTCTTACGAGGCCCCACCAGAGCGAACCGTGCCGTCAAACGCTCTGACCGCCAAGGTTCCTCGGAGCGGACGGTGATATAACAACTCCGATCACCACGGCGGCCGTCCTACCGTGACTCGCACCCCAGCTTGCTCCAACAAGCATGCATGGCAATCCCTATGTCCAAGTCGCTGCCGCGTAAACGGCCGCCGAACCCCCGAGACCGTGTGACATATCCGCTCCACGGACCCGCTCTTTCCGTTCCCGTGCCAGCCCAGGTTTTCTAACACGCCCGCTCCGCGCAGGCACGGTGGCGGTCCTGCCGCTTTCACTATGTCGCAGTCGATCCCGTTCTCGACGTCGATCTCGCGCTCGAACTCACTACGAGACGCCAACGCAGCGGGGCAACCAGAGGAACCAGGTGGCATTTATTTGCCCGCGTGCTTTCTCGTTCAGAAGAACACGCAAAGAACATGCAAGACCACGGAACACCACAAGGCACCACGGGACACCACGATCGATGTCATTCTCTGTCGACATCCCCCTACCTGGCTTCCGATCTATTGACCTCATTGTCGGACTCATCGTCGACCTATCAGTCTCGCGATCTATCGATCTCACTATCGAAATGCCAACTTGTGGCGCGCCATATGGTCGAAAGCCTTGAATGTTGTGCGATGAATGTGATGACGATACGAGTGATGGTCATGATGATCGTGTTTATGCTGATTGTGATGCTTGTGACCATGATGGCCAAGTTCACGGCATCGCAATCGATCTGGTCAACGTGTCTTGCTCTGAAGCAGAATTTGCCAATCGCCCAGGAGCGGCAGCGTGGCCAGAACGCTCGCAAAGCCTCGGAAGACGCGTGCGAGAGCCGTGCTGACAGAGTGTGGGCGCCGAGGCCAGGAGTGCGCTGGTAGAGCCTGGCGTTCCCACTCGCCTGTTGCAGCTATTTGTCTGCATACCGAATTCACTGTTGACCTCCTTCCATCGATCGGTTTCACGATCGCACGATCTCAGGAACTATCGATCTCACAGTCGACGTCACGATCGATCTCACTAGCCGTTTGTGAATCGATCTCGCTATCGGTCTCTTTATCGATCTCAAAATCGACCTCGGACACCGCGGGACACCACGGGGCCCCGCGCCACAGGGCACCACGCCACGGGACACCACGGGATACCACGGGACACCGCGTCACGGGACACCACGGGACACCAGCGGGACACTCTGGAGCCACCGCCGTCCAACCCAGGTGCGTGGAGTCAGTGAGTTCAATTTCGCCCTGGCCACGGTGGCTTCATTCCTCTTGCCCGCCCACGCAGCCTCGCCTCGCCCGCACGCCCGACGCGAACACGAAACTGACACCGATTTCCCGGCGCGGGATTTCCGTTTCACTTCGGATTCACCCACGAAGTTCCGATCAATCGACGGTTGTGGTTAGAAAGTGAGAACGGCATTGGGCATATGCCCCGCATGTTGGTCTTTCAGAGACAGTTAGACTCTGCCTCCCAACACAGGGGCCCCCCCAGCACTGGCTGGCGCGCTTGGATTTGGCCCTCCTCCGCGGCCCCCTCAAGCCGCGCACCACAGGTCATTCTTGCCCCTCCTCCTGCTCCTCCTCCTGCTCCTCCTGCTCCTCCTCCTGCTCCTCCTCCTCCTGCTCCTCCTCCTCCTCCTCCTGCTCCTCCTCCTCCTCCTCCTCCTCCTGCTCCTCCACCTCCTCCTCCTCCTCCTGCTCCTCCTCCTCCTGCTCCTCCTCCTGGCCGGCCTCGCCGCCTCCTCCTCCCTCGCCGCCCTCGCCGCCCGCGGGCGCCGAGGCACTCGCAGAGCCTCCTGGCCGCCGACCGCCCCTCCGCGCGGCGCCTGGGCCCGCTCGCGGAGCTGGGGGCGGGCGAGCGGCGGGCGCGGGTCGCGTGCCAAGGCGGGCCCCCAGGGGGCGGAGGTGCCCAGCGGGCTGGCGCGCGCGGGCGGCGTGGTGCCCCGGCGCTCCTCCTCGCCCCTCGCCCGCCTGTCGGGGGCGGAAAAGAGGGGGGTAATGACCAGGGGGGGGGGGATATCATGGCGTGGGCCATGATATTTCCCCAGATCGCAGGGCGCCTCTTCTTATTTCATTACGTCCTTGCCCCCCCCCCCCCCCTGGGCCGCGCACATGCCGCCGGCCATGATTTGCACCCCCCCCCACTTGGACGCCCCCCTCGTTGCCGCTCCCGAGCCTGCAGCCCCTGCTGCGCCAGCTCGCAGCGGGTGTGCGCCTCGTCGTTGGCCCGGCTGCCTGTTGGACCCGGCTCGCCGCGGGCCGAAAGCGTGTTCGGCCTGCGCGCTGTTGGGGGGGGGGCCCTCGGGGCAGGTCCGCCTCGCTGCGAGCGCCAGCCACCCCAGAGGGCCTGCGGGTCAGCGCCACGGGGTGGCGGGCCCTTGCGGGACTGGACCCCCCGAGGGCGCCGCGCCCTGCGAGGAAACGAAAGTGAATTGTAAATTCCTTCAACGAATTATCTCGCTTCCTCCAGGTCGTTCAACGGTTTAAACTGATGGACGTTGCCTTTTCTCTTTTTCACTCTCAATCCATCTCTCTTATTCATTTTAAACGGTTCAAGCACTTATTCGTCTTTAATTATTTGTAGTGATAGTGTCCTCTGTCTCCTGTCTCTTAGTCCTGTGCGCTCCTCTAATAAAATCCGTTATAAACCACCAGCGGCTTACATGTTTAAATTTCCGTTTCTCTGCCATTTTTCTCGCATAGTCAGCATGTTCTTTGGATCTGTCGTCATAAATTCTACCAAGAAAGAGGGAGACCATTGGTTAATGTCCTTGCTTGCGGGTCTTCATGATGGTAACAACGTCCTTTTTTATTGAAGGCTTGTCAATATGTATCACCACATTCAAACTCGGACTCATCTATTCCCCAATGATGTTCATCCAACTACTTTTCTTCAAGAAGAGACAGTTCATATGATATCTCAAAGATGAAAGAGTCCTCAATATCATGCGGATATTATGCAACGAATTCCCGTGTAAAAACTTAAGGACGCAATCCACCGGTATTATTGGCCATTAAAAGAGACCAAGAGAAGATTGGACACATGACCCAGATGCATTAAATATTTTTGAGTTCCAATTCCCAAAGATAGTCCTCTTGGAGATCATAGGCCAGTGCCTATAAGAAAGGAAGGTGTTTGCGGGAATAAATTGTTTCTCAATTAGATCCTATATTAATTCCTGTGGACATGTATCTGTGATTCGGAAGGTTAGCTGTCTTGAAAGGGATTGTCTTGTCTGAAGGTCTTGCTTTCTATTGGCGTGGAAAGAATGCAGACGGTATCTTCTCTGTCAGTAAAAGGACACATAATGTTGATTTTGACATTTTATGTTTACTCACATCCCTTTTCCAATCCATTTCTTGAAGACACGTAAATGAAGTAATCGAAAGGTCGCTTCTAATCTCTATGAAGGGAAATAGAAATTACACTGGAAAGCCAAAACGAACTTATTAATTCAGAGGAGCACTCCCCAGTAAACATTTCATACGTTTATCAGCAAGTTGATACCTTCTCCCCAGCAGCCTCGGATACATGCTACGGCTTCCTTCCCATACCTAATGATGGTTGCTATATTATCTCTTATTCTTTGTATGCAGGCATCATTAGTAAAGATGTCAAGGTATCCCTTGTTTTTATTTGGTAATCATTTTTGACGTAAGTTTTTGTTTGGCAATGGCTTCGGTGGAAAACGGTTCAGAGATGCGATACGTTATGAAAATGAGAGGTTTATTTACGAATAGCTGGTTATTAACGAAGAGTTCATGGAAACGCATGACTCGTAATTCTTGGAGAGATCGCCAGAAGCAATTGCGACGCCAGGATCTCAGGGCAACCGCGATAGGTTTTTATGAAGGTCCTCCCAACAAGTGTGGGCAGAAGGGGAGGGAAGAGGAGGAAGAAGAGGAGGAGGAGGCGCGGAGTTGACTGCTGGCCCAGAGCTCTGGGGGGGTGGGGCCCTGCAACGCTAAAGACCTTCTGCGGCTACCCGCTTCGATCGCGCCACGAATCCGACACCGCTCCCTTGCGGCGGCCTTCGGCGGCTGCCGGCGGCCCTCGGCGGCCTTCCGGCCCGAGGCTGCGAAGGGGCACCGGCCTGGGGCCGTCCCCGCCCGCGGCCTGGCCCGCCCCGCTGCTTGGGGGCGGGGCCATGGCGGGGGATTACTCCGGCGAGCCGCTGGTCCGGGCGGGAGAAGAGAGGGTTGGGAGGGATCTGGGCACAACGGAGAACCACACAACCACGGCTAAGTTGATTTTTCTGGAGGGCCGGGGAAGAGCCACCGACCTCGTCATGAACACTTGGGTTGTGGTTGTGGTGGATGTGGACGTCTGGGACGCCCACATGGGCCACAACCAGTACTAAGCTGATTGCGGTGATCCGACAATTGCCTGCATGCGCGAGACATCCCCCAGGGTGCGTCCTCGATGTGGTTGTGGTCGCTTGCTGTACCCGCAGGGAGAAAGGGAGGGGAGCCGAGGGGATCTGGAGAGGGAGGGTGAGGACGACGAGGAGGACGACGAGGAGGAGGACAAGGACGAGGAGGAGGAGGAGGACAACGAGGAGAGCGAGGAGGAGGAAGAGGAGGAGGAGGAGGAGGAGAAGGAGCACCACATCAAACCCAGGTCAGGTTGCATCCAGTGCACCCTCCCGTTCCGAGTCCCCTTCTCACAAGTCAAGTCAGAAGTCCCTAGAAGTATCCTCCGTCGAATCACTGTGCCCCTCCGCCTTTTGGAATCGCCCATGTGGCCGAACGTCGTGGCAAGAGCTCTGCCAAGCTATTGGACCATGTGTTCCCCCCAGCAATTGTGGAAGCCCTTCGGGGAATATTTGGGAGAGGATGGCGGGGAAGATCAGGAGGAGAGGAAAAGGAGGAGAAGGGGGCATCTTGGGAGCCTCTGGGGGCACTCTTGGGGCCTCCTGGAAGCTTCCTGGGAGCTTCTCGGAGGCATCTTGGGGGCCTGCTTGGGCCTCTTGGGGGGCTTTGGAGGCTTCTCGGGGGCCTCTTGGCCCGTTTGGCGTTCCTGGCCCTTCTGACGCCGTCGAAAGCCGTCTTGGGAGCCTCTCTGGGCCGACTTCGGGCCCTCTTGGGGTGCTCCAAGGCCGTCTTGGAGGCCATCTTGGGCGGCTTGGAGGCCTCTTGGGCCCTTTTGGGGCCCTCTTGGGGCCGTCTTTGGGGCCTCTTGGGCCGTTCTGGGATCATATTGGAGGCGTCTTGAGCGATCTTGGGGCGACCTTTGGGGGCTCTTGGGCCGTCTCGGGCTGTCGCAAGGCCAACACATGCTAAAATCAATCCGAGGCCGATTGAATATCAATGATGTGGGTCTCTTCGGGCCTTCCTGGAGGCCCTCTTGGGGGCCTCTTGGGCTGTCTTGGAGGCCTCTTGGGGGCCTCTTGCGGACCGTTTGAGCCGTCGTATGCCATCTTGAGACCATTTGGGGCCGTCTTGGGTGCATTTTGGGGCCATGTCGGGGCCTCTTGGGGCCATCTTGGAGGCATCTTGGAGACCATCTTGAGACATCTTGGCCGTCGGAGAGGCCATCTTGAGCCATCTTGCTGATTTTTTGTGGACGTTGAGGTTGTTTGGGGACCCTTCGGGTTGCCGGCGCGCTGGGCCGAAGCCCCACGTGGAGTTCTGCTGGAAAAAGAACCAACACCAAACCGTAGGGTTCAGCAGGCCGAGCACCCCTGCGGCAAGACCACAGGGGGCCCCAGGCTCCCAGCAGGGGATGCGCACATATGGGAGGCGCGGGACTGCGAGCGTAAACTGTGTGCCCTGTCACAGGGCTCCACACACATCATTGCCACCGGCTCCGCCATCACAGTGCAAGGCATACGAGTGGGCCATGTCCAGCAATAACGCGCCCCACGAGGCACCGCACTTACAGTCACATCACATTTTGAGATACTTCCGGGTACCCTCGCTACAAAAACAAAAATCGGCCCATCCCGCCACAATGCTTGGGTTGTGAATATGAAGCCTATTGGAGGTTCGTTGGGATCTCGTGGGAGGTCTCTCGGGGGCCTCTTGGACGCAGTTTGGAGGCCTCCTGGGGTTCTTTTTTGGGGCCTGGATCCTCTCGGGGCCTCTTGGACGCCTCTTGGAGCCTCCTGGGCGCCTCTTCGGACCTCCTGGGGGCCATCTTGGGCATCTTGGAACGATATTCCGGCGACTCGGGGCCCTCTTGGACCGTCTTAGGGGCCTCGTGAGGTCCTTTTGGCCCGTCTTAGGGCATTCGGAGGCGGCGGGACTTGCACGCGCGCGCGGAACTCGCACGCACAGAACTCGCGCGCACGGAACTCGCACGCACGGAGTTCTTACGACGCAGATTTCACACGACGCGAAGCTCGCACGCATGAACCTCACATGAAGCAGGACTCGCACAGACAGAACTCGCACGTGGCGGAACTCGTCCAGACGGAGCTCGCACGCGCGGAGCTCGACCGGACGGAACTCGCACTCGAGAATTTGCGCGCGCTCCGACGCTTCTCCGCGTGCGACTTCCGCTGCTGCGAGCTCCGTCCGTGCGAGTTCCGTCCGTGCGAGTCCCGCCCGTGCGAGCTTCTTCTGTGCGAG